CCAGGAAGACAACAAAACATGGACTGTTTAAAAGTCTTGAATCATGAAATAAAATAAATTGTTTATTCTGTAATAATATTAACAGTACCAATTTTACTGCTCCAGATGCGCATGTCAACAATTACAGTCTCTCCAGTGATGCTTGGGCCTTAATACAAACGTATAGAGCTGATAGAACCAAAGAATGAAACAAAGAATAGCCGAATCTGGACAGATCTTTTAAATGTTTTAATTTCTGCCTGGTTTCGTAAGGTCTGATCGAATAAGGTGGATCATTACTATATATTTCCGCAGATAGACTTTTAGTATGCTTTTTTTTTATATCTAATAAAAAGTCTGGGTCAGCATGCTATTTTACAAGCTACCAGTCGTGCAAAATTGCTCAATTTTGCATAGATTATTCATGAAAAAGCACTTTTTTTGGTGAATAAAACAAACTATGACATATAATTTTGAAATGAAAAAATGAGAAGATAAGTTTTATGATATGCTTTAAGAAAAAAAAAAATGATGTTCTTGCAGCAAGTAAAAATTGAAAACATTCCTTTACAAAATTGTTACTACAAGAGTTATCTCCTTTGATCTGACTGAGTTTAAAAATGAATAAAACTTCACCAAATATCTGGTATTAGTTAAAACTGTCTAAGTAATGCATTAAGCGAAAGATACCAGAGTGACATTCAAACTCATAAGTCGACAATAAACTGACAACGCCATGGCCAAAAAAGAAAAAGACCAACAGACAAACAATAGTACACAACAAACAACATAGAAAACTAAAGACTGAGCAAGACGAACCCCACCAAAAACTGGGGGTGATCTCAGATGCTCCGGAAGGGTAAGCAGATCCTGCTCCACATCTGGCACCCGCCGTGTTGCTCATGTTAGTACGAACCCGGTAATAAGTCTAATTCGGTAGGTCACATTCGGGAAAAGGGGGACGGGATTGTGGTTACGACATTAGGAACATATCCGCTATCATCTGTGAAACGGGTATTCCATAACGGTCAACCAACTCGTGATGGCGTCCGTAAAACTTACGAAGGGATGATTTCAACTTCGCAACTTGGAACTCTTGGTTTAATAGCTTCCTTGTGAGCAGCAACCCTCTATCAATGAAATCATGTTAGGAAATACAAGCCCTGGTATATCGTATCAACTGGGAGATATATACTCTGGAAAACATTCAAGGAATGCGCTTCGAAATAGGGCAACCACCTATCGAAGACAATTTACAAATTTAGCGATTTATCTTCCTGACAAGGAACATGTTATGGAATATCTGTTTTACAGAATGACAGATGACGATGTAGAGGTTACGATTAACCTGACTGTGACTTATCACTGGTTTGGCTTCCCTTCCTGAGCACCCAACTTCTCCCTCGATTTTTGTTGGGCTCGTGTTGCTCAATCTTTGATTTTGCATGTTGTTTTTGTGTGACTCGTGTGATCAAGGAAAGGTGTCTTATGTATGTTTTAACTGACATCCATAACAAACAAGAAAATAAAATCCATGTGCATGTTATAAATCATCAATATAAAAAAGAAAGATGATGGAGTGATTATGTTCAGACAGCAATCTAAAATAACACGTGCATACAAACCTCATATTGTGAATTTATAGTCGGTGATGTCACGAACGAGGAATAAGGTCGGAAGTGTGTCTATAAAAAGTGGCACATTAACGCAGGCATCTCTGACAGAAATTTCGTAACAATCAATCATATCATCATTGTTTTCTTAAAACGTTCGAAGGCATGACTTGAACTTTACTGTACGTCTCATTTTCATTGATTTTTTTCATACCTATCTGTTTATATTGGGGTCAGATGCATACCAGCAATCTTCGGAGGTCATGTCGATGGCTAATTGGATGGTATCAAGTCCCAAACTATTTATACTCGATTCCATTCCTTTTTCTATGTTACCTATGAGACATGTGTATGCGTGATGTACATTTTAGTATGTTATAAATCATACTTTAGAGTTTAAGTGAATTTCGTAGACATGAACAAGATTGTTGTGTTTAATATTCGCCAGCTTACTCCTCTTGTTCAGTATTGAAACTAACAAGAAGCGATTTTGGCGTTACCTTAGAGGGCTAATATGAAAATATAATTTACTACTTCTGGTTATTATCTCAACGTTATAGTTTGGCAAATATGTGACAGTTAGAAAATAAGGAGTTACGAAAATTTGTTCGCTATTATCATACTGTAAAACATTTAATTGACCTCAAGCTAACGTTTTTATTGAAATACTGAAGTATAAAAGACAAAAGAATAGGGAACATGAAATAGATTATGAAAAGTGCAAATAATAAAATATATTGCATACGAAAGTGTTTAACAATTCTCTATGAAAGTGTTGCAAAATTTAAATACAAGTAGTTTACTCTTTATCCAATTTTTGTCAGTCTATACATATCAGCGTGAAACATATAGCAAATCTACGTGTACATAGCAGTATTATAGTTAGATTTAATATGTCTTTCATTTTTATATCTCTGGAAATCAAAAGAAAACATTTTGTAATATTTTACTTATTGGAAATGTGTGATAAAAAGGCAATGACAACATATTTTTCATATTAGTAGTATTGTCAGCACTCTATTCGTTGACTCATAAGCTCCTATTATGTCACAAGGCTGATAATACATCTGATTTGAAAAATGACACGTAAAAATCGGATATGATATTACTGAGTAAGGGAAAAGAGCTATCAATAAAACTGAAAACAAATACAAACACGTTCAACTTATCAAAAAAGGCAGTATCGTCTATTCACCTCACCTTTTGTTTTTGTGTTTTTAGGATATTTCAGGGAAAAGACCGAACTTATATGGTTTTGTTAATTTTCAGATACTTTTAATCGAACTTACATAATTATCAATTATATGACACAAAGTGGGACCTTTTAGGAAATAGGCTCGTGAAGCAAAGGTGGGCTTCATCCGGTCATGAATTGAGGACTGTGAAGGGTAAATATAACATGATTTGTTTTAAAAAAACTTATTCATTAGACACAGGAGGTTATACTCGTATTTTTTCAGGTTAGACTGACACGCGATACCGTTAAAACTGAAATATTTTACTGTCTTTTATAAATTAATATGTTTCAGGTCAAGATCTAACGATGTATTCGATTTCTTCGTCACTTAAATACCACAGCCTGAGCTACATATTAATAGATGCTTTCCGAGGGTAACGCCTAAATATGTAATGTGAACTTGTTTAAAGAGCATGTTGTACATCCCGATTGGACTTTCTAAATTGTATAATCATAGTATATATAGAATAATGGCATTTTTGTTTTTGATACTAATTTTATCAGCAAGAATATCAAGCGAGCTAGGCGCGAGCCCGCTAGGTCAAGCTGATATTCGAGCTGATGAAGTTAGTATCAAAAAAATTAAAATGCAATTATTCTTTTTATCGGCAATTTGTCTTAACAAAATGTTTTTTTGATGGAGAATATGAAATAAAATGTATTTGTAAGTAAAACTACTTTTACGCGTACAAACGTGATAGTTGTTCGGTTGTATGAATGAAATCGCGTGCGTTTCATTGATAATTTGACGCGGATGGACATGAACACGCGACCTTGCTGCACTGTTATGTGACGTCATTGCCTAATACTTTCGAGTATCAAGTCCTTTCTATGAAATAGAAAAATATTTGGCAGTAAGATGAAAGGGAAAATGTACAAATTGCCGATAAAACAAATTAGTTATTAAAAGTATATTTCTAATAATTTTATATCGGTTAGCGCGGTGAAAAAGCATCAGTAAACAGAGTTGTGTATATCTCATTTCAATTATGTAATAATATATTATTAAACATTATGATAAAAATGGAAAAATATGATCACAAAACAAATCGTACATTACAATGCGTTATCTGAAATGCGTTATAATACATGAATTTTATCAACTTTTACTATCAACACTTATCAAGGTGTGTTAGACTCAATCTTTTTAAGCAATGTATTCATCGATCGAGTCTCGAATACTGTTATTTTGTTAAATCTTCACCTAGCGTATCGTGTCTGAATTGTATAACTCATTCAATAATCAGATCTTAGCCACATCATTAGAAACCAACCAGAATAAAATCATTCTTACTCGACTAAAACAATCATTTTTTAAATAATGACATGATTTCAAACAAACCTAGAAAAATCGCTGATATACGATTGCACGTGCCTGTTTGTGTTTATATCGAGTCGTATGACCATCTGCAGTCTTCTGAAGTCATCTAGATGGTTGATTAGATGGCGTCTAGTCGAAAATACACACGAAATGCTAAACCATTATAACAAGTTCATATATTGTGAATTGTTTCTTTTACGGTTTTTGTTATTTGGATATACGTTTTAGTATTTTATAAATCAAATATGAGACTTTGAGTCAAATCGTTGAAAATGAATTTGACAGCCAATGCCCCTTCAAGTAATCATTTTTAGATGAAGTGTAAATCGACTAAAACTAAAAGCAGCTTCGCATCGTGATCCTTAGCAATAAATTGTCAAGTTCCTTTACACAACTTGGATCTTCTTTTCTCAATTAGTGGTTGTTATTGCTAATATTAATGATTAAATTTAAGAATCTACCCCGAACTTGTTGGGGACAGCAAACATAATGCTTTAAAAATTAAAAAAAGATAAAATATGCAGATATTATTTAGCTTAAAACACATATTTAGAGCAATAATAGTGTACATCAATCATTTTCTAATTAAACTGAGTATTTGTTAAGAATTTTCAATAATGTAAATTAGTATTCTTCATTTTTTACCACAAGCATTAACTTGACATAAAAAAGGGTGTTCAATTTACAACACAAAATCAATAGGTAAAAATATGACGATATCTCTCCAAAATGTATGAGATATCTGACGGCAAAACACACACATGAAGGACGTTGCTTAAAACTATATATTTAGACGGGGGAGGGGTGGCGATTAAACCTTGTTCTCTTCAATCAAAATAAATGTACAAACCTTGATGAAAATGGCTATCATTGAATAATACGGACTTTATAGGTTTTATATTTCTGTCCATTATATCATGCATATCCTTTTCGTTTGTCGTCACTTGCATCAACGACTGAGTATCTAGAAACGATCTGAATGTGTTTGATGTATGGTATATTGTCTTCCTGAATGACGTTAATGACGTGAAACAGGTTAACAAGAATGATATCCCTAATCCAAAGGCAAGGCCGAAGACAAAGGTAAGTCTGGATGACTGTGTTCCTCCAAACACTGAAAAAACAATATTGGTAGCTTTATCGAATTGAAGAATTAATTATTGTTTGCTTTATATCAAATCGCAATAATGGGGATAATTGTATTTTTGGAACGGTACCTCAAAACATATTTGCCTGAACGAACGGGGCATTTAGTTATTCAAGATGATTGTAAATATGTAAATTTTAAGTAAAGTCTTTTTCTTAGAACAATTAGAACCTCCAAACAATTCACATTTCTAGTGTGAAACAGTCAATATATATGATAAAAATGATAAGATATCTAGTTACTGCATGCGAAAGTTGTGCTTTCTTCTGGGACATGGGAGTTTCAAATTAACTTTAGGTTGATTAAGTGTTGCAAATATGCTACCATAAGTCGAAGAGAAACCTAACGCTTGAAATGCTTCACATTTTTGATTTCGGGGCCTTTTAAAGCTCACACAGTGACGAATATGCTTGTATCCACGTCGATTGAAGTCTGGTGGATAGTTATCTCATTGACAATCATACCACATCTCCTTAATTTAAATATGTATATAACATTATCGGTAAAAGAAACGACGGAAATACATACAAAATTCCACAAAAAAATCTAAAAAGACAGAAAACTAAAGATTTAGCACCACGAACCCCATAACAACACTGGGAATGAATGTTTGTGCTCCGTAGGGTAAACGGTTCCTTTGCCAAAAGTGGCACCTATCCTTATGGCAAGTGAAATGTTGACTGTACATCGTATTCTGTGATGTTACAATCGAGGTAAAGAGGATGGGTTGTGACGATGCCTAGTGAAACATACTTGTGGTCAACTTTGACATATATATGCCATTACGGTCATCCAATCATAGTAGAAACCGTAACACTTTCAAAGGAATGACATGATATTAACCATTAAGAGCCTTTGAAAACATCATTCTTCGGAAATTTGTATATTAAAGCTGACAGATAAACATTCATTAATTTTAATCTATTTATTCTTAAAATTCCATGATTAAGAAACTGTCAGAAATTCAAGATAGATATTTGTAGATTCAATGGCAAGTATGACGAGAACAAATAGAGTACAAATAATATAGGTAAGTTCTGCAATGTGGGCTGGTAAAGGTTTTGCTCATTGTATTTCCAGGGCTTGTATTTCCTATCATGATTTCCTTAATAGAGGATTGCTGCTCACAAGGAAGCTATTAAACCAAGATTTCCAAGTTGTGAAGTTGAAATCATCCGTTCGTAAATTTTACGGACGCCATCACCAGTTGATTGACCGTTATGGAATATCCATTTCACAGATGATAGCGGATATGTTCCTAATGTCGTAACTACACCGTCCCCTTTTCCTGAATGTGACTTACCGAATTAGACTTATTACCGTTTTGTACTAACATGAGCAACACGACGGGTGCCACGTGTGGAGCAGGATCTGCTTTCCCTTCCGGAGCACCTGTGATCACCCCCAGTTTTTTGGTGTGGTTTGTGTTGCTCAGTCTGTAGTTTTCTTTGTTGTGTTTTGTTTACTATGGCGTTGTCAGTTTATTTTCGACTTTTGAGTTTGAATGTCCCTCTGGTATCTTTCGCCTCTCTTTTGAAAGCCGACGGTTACCTATAGTTGCTAACATCTACGTCAGTAGATCTCTGGTGGATATTTATCTCATATGTAATCATACCACATTGTTTTTATTTGTATACTGACGGGGATGAAGGATGAACTTTTAGACTGTCACTGGAAAAAAGAGGCTATTATGGAAAGAGACAGGCATCTTGCCTTGCCACAGACGACCAACGGACCACAGAAAAAGTGTGTTTCAACGAGTCTTTAACGTAGAGGGATTGTGACCCTCTCCCTACACAATGCATCGAATCTAACGTGCCCGTTCCGACCTTCCATGGCTGCGTATTTGTACATCATTCACAGCAAAACTGGTGCTCCGTTTTTACCACGCGGTTAATTCAATGATTCAATTCAATGGTGGGAGATGAACAGGTGATCACATTTCTTTACCCAAGTCAATCCTTTTTTTTTACATTTTTTATTGATCCTTTTGGTGTTCAAACTACAGTGCATACATACATTTTTACAAGACATAAGTGAATGGCATGACATTTATGGCATTGTTATAATTGTTATTATGCGAATAAGTCATACTAAAAACGATGTGAATAATAAAGGCAACAGTAGTATACCGCTGTTCGAAACTCATAAATCGATAGAAATAAAAACAAATCCGGGTTACAAACTAAAACTGAGGGAAACGCATCAAATATAAGAGGAGAACAACGACACAACAAAAACACAACATTAAAAATGTAACACACACAGAAACGAACTATAATATAACAATGGCCATTTTCCTGACTTGGTACAGGACATTTTAAGAAAAAAATGGTGGGTTGAACCTGGTTTTGTGGCATGCCAAACCTCCCGCTTTAATGGCAACGTCAAACACAACACCAAAACGACAACATCACATGACAGGACCACAATACAAATAAATGGGAGAACATATAGGACAAAGAAACACACGAATAATAGCTAACAAAAGGTACTAGGCTTAAAATTCAATACGCCAGACGTGCGTCTCGTCCACACAAGACCATCCAGTGACGCTCAGATGAAAAAAGCTTGAAAGCCAAAACAAGTACAAAGCCGAAGAGTACCGAGGACCAAAACTTCCAAAAAGTTGCGCCTAACACGGCCAGAGTTTTCTGCCTGGGACAAGAACATCCTTATTATTTAGAATAATTTATAGTTTTACAAACAGTAAATGATACATCTTAAGAATACTTTGTAGTTCCTTAGATATATAATCATATTCAAAATAAATTTAATAACTTCCATAAATCACCCCAAGGAGAAACATTTCACTGATCGATAAAAAGTGAATACACATCTTTAGTAAATAATTTGCTGATAGGCATTTTTTTATTCTCATGCTAAAACACGAATCCAAATGAGTTGCTGTTAGGTGACGTGTTGTTGTAATAAAAAATCTTTCCAGTCACGTGGTATAGCAAGTTTAATAGAAATAATATCTGAAAAGCAACATTCAGGTTATATATATTTTTGGTTACTAGCGTCATGAGACAAAAATTCGCCATTACCATCTACAATATCATTGATGAACCTTATGCCCTTCATGTACAAAGATCTGTATAAAATACTCGTTCTGTCAACTTTGTTAAAAGGATTGAACCAAATAAATTCTTTTCTCACATGAAATGCATCTAACGGAATGAAATCCCCTTGAAACGTTTCCAAGCAGATAACACACCATATAAAAAAGAGTTGCTTTTAAATTTAAAAACTCAAATTCACATCTGTTCATAAATAAATCCTCTTAATCAAAAAGAGGGAAGAATGCTTAGGAAACATGTTTCCATTTGAAGTCATGTTCTGACAGAAATCATTTTACCCACGTAATACGAAAGGATAACAGCTGTAATTCAAAGTTTGGGGAGTCCAGTCCCCCCTCGCTAGGAGACTTTTGAATAACTTCCGATTTAACTTTCGGAGTACTACCATTCCATAAAAAACTATTAATATCACGTTGTATTTTAATTACATAAGATTTTGGTACATGAGTAGATGAAATGACATACAGTGGGGATCACTTCTAACCTCTCATCAAATCTGTCAGAATCTGCCAGGAGAACTGTTCTAGGACAGTATGTATCCTGACACCTTTTAGACAGTTCTAGCTAGAACAGTTCTAACCTAGAACTGATTTGGTCACTTCTACCTAGAACTGATTTAGACAGTTCTACCTAGAACTGATTTAGACAGTTCTACCTAGAACTGATTTAGACAGTTCTACCTAGAACTGATTTAGACAGTTCTACCTAGAACTGATCCTGACAGTTCTACCCTAGAACAGTTTTAGACAGTTCTACATAGAACTGACCAAATCTTTGATCAGTTCTACGACTAGAACAGTTCTACGGCTAGAACAGTTCTACGACTAGAATTGGTAAGTTCTACGGCTAGAATTGATTTAGTCAGTTCTATCCATAGAACAGATTAAAGAACTCTTTGTCTTAAATATAAATAAGTCAAAAGAATATAATATTTATTAAAAAATTCTCATCACAGCACTGTTTTAACATTTCTCGTTACGGAAAATGCCCATAACCGTTTCCTCGGTCGCTTTTATAGCGGAAATTTTGTTACGATGGATGTCGATGGAGGAGAGTGGCAAAACAAATAATTTTATGAAATATTTGTACTTACAGGTAAAGAAAATACCAAACTTCATTATTTATAAGTTTATAATGAACGACTGGCGATATTCTGACGGGAAAGGGGTGACACTTTTTTTGTGGATGGAACCTGCTTTTTGCACAATAAGCTTGTTACCGATTTGATCGAGGTCACAGTTTGTTTACATTCTTCATAATTATTTTATTTTTTAACCCTTTCTTGTGTAGAGTTAGTTAATTTATCAGGTCTGAGATTACTATAACAATAATATACTATGTGTTATGGTAATCTCAGCCCCATCCTACCCAGCTGCCTTTGGTGGATCACTTAGACTCCCATTTGCACGGAAACGGGTATAAAATTTCCCGATGGCCTCTTTTGAAATTGAAACTCCCCCTGTGTCCGATAAAATACTGGAAATCTTCACATACGATTTTCCACTTTGGCGAAGATTAACTATTTGCTGTCTCAAAAACATTGAAATTCTGTTAACTTTGACAGGAGGCATTTTGCGTGTGGCTTTATCAACGATAATAATAACACTGAATGGTGACCAGTGAGATGCCCTAACTGCAGTGACGTCATTCAGAACTGTTCTACAATCCTGACAGGTTTGGTCAGTTCTACGGCTAGAACAGTTTTAGACAGTTCTGCTGACAGTTCTTCGGTTAGAACTGATTTAGTCAGTTCTGCTGACAGTTCTACGGTTAGAACTGATTTGGTCAGTTCTGCTGACAGTTCTACGACTAGAACTGATTTGGACAGTTCTACCTAGAACAGTTTTAGACAGTTCTACCCTAGAACTGATCCTGACAGTTCTA